GGAGGAATAGCCCACAAGGACAGCTAATAGGGAGGGGGAGATGCGGCTTTCCCTTCACGGGTGGCACTGATCAGAGAGAAGTAGATTCCTCTGCTGCCTCGACAAGTCCCCCCTGACTTGCCGTGTCTTTGTCCCCCCGATCCGCTGACAGCAGCTTCTGGGCTGCCTGCTAGAGAGATGTCTTCCTCCTCCTCGTCCTCCGGCCCGCTGATGGCGGCTTCCGGGTCGATGCTGTAGAGATGTCTCCAGGGTCCTGCTCCTCCAGTCTGCTGCTTCCGAGTAGTCCACGTCTGCCAGGGCCACGTCCGTCCTGATGTCGTCCCCTGGTCCTAGTAGGTGGTTTCCCCGCCGCACACTGGCTCCCGTGGTACGAGCTGTCCCCCTTTTCTCCCAGGCAGACGGCATAAGAGGTCCGCTGGGTCACTCGGTCGGGGTCGGAGAGCCTGGGGTTGAGCCACTTTGTCCTGATGACTTTCAGCCAGACGAACTCTGCTGTCGGCCTCGTGCTTCTCGGGTCCCCCTTTTGGCGCCAGCGACCTGTGTGGAGAAATCTGATACAACTCCCTCAAGCCTACGCTCAGCTGTTTTGACCCACTTGGAGCCTGTTGGTGGGGTGTCTTGAAACAACAGCCGTCTGTGAACAGGTTTTCTAAATTAATTGTAGACCTCCTATCTGCCAGTGCAGCTTCAGAATCTTAATACTTGGACTGTGCCAACTAAATAAGAACCCCAACATCTTTAGGTAAACTAAATAACATATTTCAATAGCTCTGAATTTCTGACAAGCATCCGTGTTTATTTTTAAATGAAATCCTATTTAAAATCTAAATATAATATGAACTGCTAATGTTTCTGGCAAAGAAACACACTAATGTTATGGATTCAAAAACAACCAAAATCACGATACTAACAAAGTGAATGATTTCCTGGTGATACTGCTTCTACCTGTCAGTGCTTAGATATCATCACGCTGAAAAAATGAATACAGAATTCCAACAAACTGTCATCAAATGTCTTTCTATTATAAATTTAGATGAAATGTATATCCCCATAATGACCTAAATAATAAAGTCTATGGCTTTTACTTCTTTACCAGGCTAGTTACATGATGTTGTCTAAATTAAATTCTGTCTCAATACACTACTATGTTTTAGCTTTAACTGTAATATGTTCTTTCTACATTTCAAACCTCAGTTACTCTAATGTCTGTTAAAATATTACAAAATTGTTTCATTATCACAGGTCAACTTCTTCGGTTTCACAGTAGCCCCTTGGCCACTGCTTCTTTGTTACCTGTTGTAATTCAAATCAATATTTAGAAACATCTCAACATTCATCAAACAGTATCGTGTGAATTCTTCCTCAGCTTCGTTATATCTGGACGTCAGGGTCACCATCTGTTAGAGATTAAAAGGGATATCTAGTCCGCTTTTCAAATCTCAGCGCGTCCCTATCAAGCTGGTTAATACAGGAAGGAATCCAGAGCTACCAAATAACTGTTACTTTAATGATAATATGACAATACAAATACAATCAATACAATACAAATTCAACACAGTTAATCCCTGGGATCCCGAATTTACCTGCACGTGAGCCAGCCAGAGGAAAGAGGCTGAACACCGCGTGTGTGTCTGTTTATACTATTTGACAATGGGAGGAGTTATCAGATCCTCCCATTTGGAGCTCATTGATTGGCCGCCCAAATATCACAGACACCTCCGACCTTAGGTTTCCCCAACCACTGTAGTTGAATGCAAATCAAGACATGCTCTCACCTTCCCCCCATCTTCCTTTGTCCTCAAAAACACATGTCAAAAGGCCCCACATCCAGCTCACAGTTTTACCCAAATTATTCTCATTTTAAGCTTATCCATAGTTTGCTAACATGAATAAATACAAATATAACTCTACAACGCACACACACATACCATGTATAAATCACTTCAGGGGACATTACATTGACTTACATGCATTTCCTGGAGACTTATCCTAACCTTAACCCTAACCAACACATGCCTAACCCTAACCCTAACCCTTACCCTAAACCTAACCAAGTCTTCACCCTAAAATTAATGATTCCCCTCATGGGGACCTCCAATTTGTCCCCATAAGGGAGGCGAGTCCCCACACGTGACTGTGTAAACAGATTTAGGTCCCCACAAGTATAGTAATGCTAGGCCACACATACACACACACACACACACACACACACACACACACACACACACACACACACACACACACACACACACACACACACACACATATATAGATTGTTGTGTGCATATGTATACATGTGTCTGTTGATTGTATATATTACATTACATTACATTGCATTACATTGCATTTAGCTGACGCTTTTATCCAAAGCGACTTACAATAAGTACGTTCGACCAAGAAGATACAACCTTGAAGAAAACAGAATCATATAAGTACATCAGGTTTCATAGAGCCAAACATTTCAAGTGCTACTCAACTGGCTTTAGATAAGCCAGCCCTTTATTAGTATATAAGTGCTTTGTTAATAGTTCTATCGCTCGAAGTGGAGTCGAAAGAGATGAGTTTTCAGTCTGCGCCGGAAGGTGTGCAAGCTATCTGCTGTCCTGATGTCAATGGGGAGCTCATTCCACCATCTTGGAGCCAGGACAGCAAACCCACGTGTTTTTGCTGATGGGAACTTGGGTCCCCCTCGCAGCGAGGGCGCAGCGAGCTGTTTGGCTGATGCAGAGCGTAGTGCACGTGCTGGGGTGTACGGTTTAACCATGTCCTGGATGTACGAAGGGCCAGATCCATTCGCAGCATGGTACGCAAGTACCATTGTCTTGAAGTGGATTCTAGCAGTTACCGGAAGCCAGTGAAGGGAGCGGAGGAGCGGAGTGGTGTGGGAACATTTAGGAAGGTTGAAGACCAGACGAGCCGCTGCATTCTGGATGAGCTGCAGAGGTCGGATGGCACATGCAGGTAGACCAGCCAGGAGGGAGTTGCAGTAGTCTAGGCGTGAGATGACGAGAGCCTGGACCAGAACCTGAGTCGCTTTCTGGGTCCGGAGAGGACGTATCCTCCTGATGTTGTAAAGCGTGTATATAGGATATACATATTTTATACATATTTGTACTTTTGTATTCAGGATTGTGGGAAACGGCATCTCTCTCTCTGTACACACAAACTGAAAGATTGACAATAAAGTTGACTTTGAACTCGTACTAAACACAGTCTTGACTGAATAATAAACACATGGAAACAAAGCAAACTCAGCGTAAGGTAAACAGGATTCAAACTGATGTTCTAGAAAGAGGCATTTAAACAATTCACTGGTAAGACTTGTGTTAATTATTCACAGATGGCACAACTTGTTCCCTCATGTTGAATCTCTGCTGTTTGTGTGTGTGTGTGTGTGTGTGTGTGTGTGTGTGTGTGTGTGTGTGTGTGTGTGTGTGTGTGTGTGTGTGTGTGTGTGTGTGTGTGTGTGTGTGTGTGTGTGTTTGCAGTTCTGGCCATCGAGCTGCTGGCCGCCTGCCAGGCTCTGGAGTTCCTCCGTCCTCTGAAGACCACCGCTCCTCTGGAGGGGGTCCACCAGCTGCTGCGCTCCGTGGTCAGGTAACACCTCCACCTGCTGCACCAGTGGATGTATAAAGAGAGCTGGGTACAGTTTCAGTGGCAGGGCCTTTTTCTTTCCTGTGAAAGTTGCTCAGTGAGGCATAAGGCCTAGGAAGGGCCTGAGCTGTGGGGTTTCTTTGGAACTTTTTCCTTGTACGATGTTAGGGTCTAAGGACAGAGCGAAACAAACTCACAAACTGTGAAGTCCACTGAGATAAATGTTGTGATATTGGGCTATTTAAATAAACATTGATTGATTGATTAGAGGTACACAAAAACCCCATAATCATTCGGGGATTTAGACACTTAAGTTGCCTACCTGACTTTTCCTTCAGCCTTGCCTCCGGTCCTAACGTCTCACCTCAGCATACTTGCCAACCTTGAGACCTCAGAAATCGGGAGCATTTCTAACCGGAGCGGTTAGATTAACGTTAACATGCTTATTTAGAGTTGTCCATACTTGTTCTGTTTTCTATCTGCCTCGGATGTATAATAAGAACGCCTCACCCTCTCAGACTTTCAGTTGCGCGCGCTACTAAAGAGACGCGCTACCATGGAAACCAAACAATGGTGTAGCTGTATTAAAGTCCGAGTGGAAACAGTCGTGAGTAAATCTGAATTTGTCAGAAATCGGGAGATATGCGGGAGGGTTGGCAAGTGTGCATCTCAGTTGAATTAATACTGAGGGAAATTAACCGGTTATTTGGTTTAAATATAAGAAGGATTTGACTAGGAAGTTCATTTAGCTTAAAAAATCTAGTATTAAAAGCATTTTTGGGCCCAAATGACGTTATGGATTAGAACGTAACATTTACCCACTACGAAAATGTGCTTGAATGGCCGAGCTCTTTCGGGAGGTTTCGGTGACACTTGACCTTCTTCTGTAAATCCTAAGGCTGGAGCTCCTTGCTTAGATTTGGAGCTATTCGCCATTTTAGCTAATTATAACTGAGCTAGATATAAAGAACCATCAGAGCCCTTCGAATACTGTCATGATTCCAGAGCAGTTTGAGTATTTTTCTTACAGGAAAATACTCAGTTTCCTCGTCAGAAATGTGTATGAAGACATATCATTTTATAAGACTGATACTATGAGATGTCCTTACTTTTATTCGTCTCCCCAGCCCATGGGACAGAGACCGAGTCATGAGTCCTGACATCGAAGCGGCTCACACTCTCATCAGACAGCAGAAGGCAAGTCTGTCCCCAAACACACCCAACATTTCACTGAAGAGCTGTAATGACTTCTTGTTATAACGACTTTGTTTTCTGCCCTCAGCTCTGGAAGACGGTCCAGCCGTTCATGGAGGAGTACAGGAAGAAGCTGACCACATGATGAGGACAGAGAGGAAAGCTTTGTACAACTTGGACTGTTTTAAGCAATAAAAATAGAGGAGATATGATCGGCTTTTGAATTTTTATTCAAAGGATTGACATCACATTAATGCACATGGTAAATCGTGTTAACTTACAAAAGAGCTGCATGATCTGATGTGACAGTAACAACGTGCCCTCTCGAGAAGCTGTTCGAAAATAAACATCCAAGACAACAATTCAATTCCCAATATCCCCCCCCTCCCTAGATGAAATGAATGCATACAAAGCAAACACATTAACACACAAATCATTTGACCACTAAATCATGTAATAATAACAACACTAGCCTTTAAAATAAAGCCTCACATTTCCCAGCTGGTTTGAATGCAATCCAACACATCTGGTACCTCACAACTAGGAACTACACTTTCTACTGAACAGGTAGTGATTTCTCTGTACATCCTCCCCCTGTCCGCCTGATGACCTTCACCCTGTGGGGGGGTCAGAGGTCACCAGGAGCCGCTGCGTTCGGGTCGAGGCCTCGTCATGAAAACTGGATCTGTTGTACGGTGGGAATCTGCAACACGGACACAAAGTTACGTTAGGAGTTATTTAGAGACGTATTTATCGTACAGATCGGTGAAGAAACTCTAACAAGCAACAAATCCAACTCGAAATGTTGTTTTCTTTAAGAAACTGGTGTCCAAAGATCCAGAATACTTAAATCTTTTCACCACAGTCATAAATAAAACTTAAATCTGACCGTAACCCTTTTAAATTGTATTCTCATGTTAAATTATTAGAGAAGATATACTGTATTAATCCCAATTTGGGAATGTTTTCATCACAGCAGTATGTAAACCTCTTAAAATAGAAAATAAAACTGAAATATATACATAAAAAAAGTGAAATGATTGATTAAAGTATTAATAGTAGTTCTAATTATTATGTATATAAGCCGCTAGGCGCTAATTCCCTCTTCAATATATATTTTTGATGTTGTGAAAACATCTTCAAACAACTAGATTTGTTTAAACACATCGTGATAATTATTCATTTACTGAATAACGTGTTGAGAAGGGTGCTATATAAACAGGGGTGCCCATAACTGGTAACATCTGAAATGCGTACCGTCACTTGTCTCACTAAGCGCATTTGCGTACCGGCGGACTTGTGAAGCATTTCCACTGGACGACAGAGCCGGTCGCCGCGCGCACAGACGGGGCTGCTGTTACCGTCGAGTTCCACACGCGTGCTCCACTACCGCCCACCGACGTTCAATACCCAAACCCCCACCGGTCGACGTTCGCGAAACAGAGGGGCTGAACACATAACCTTGCGTGGGCATCCCTGGTACCAAACATTGTCTCCTGGTACTCATTTGAGTAACTCACTAATGGCGCATTTCCACCACAGCGCGGTTTAAGCGTTTAACCGGCCCGTTTTTGGTTGCGTTTCCACTCGGCGTAGTTCCGGCTAGCGGGTACCTTTTCATAGTTTTCTGGCTTTCCAAAATCGAGGTTCTTTCCGGGCCAACAACCGGGCTGAGTATGCTAAGCTAGTGGGAGAATCGCTGGCAACTACAACACAATGAACATATTGTACCGTGATTTAATTGTAATACACGTTTCAAAATGATGCCGAAGTAACAACATACTGATACCGGTTAGTAAAAACCATGAATTAATGCTTTGACAAGTCTGCAGACAGACGGCAGGGCTGCTCAATTAATCGTATTTTAATCGCAATTACGATTTTGGCTTGCAACGATTATGAAAACAACATAATCGAAATAAAACGATTATTTATTTATTTAAAAAAAAAATTGTATTGGTTTTTCAGTTGAATTAAACTTAAAGTTCAGGGTAATCAACTGTTAAAAACATACTGTTCAATTTTTTTTCTTCAATAAATGGATGTTTTCAAAGTAAATGGATAACCGTTTTTAAAAATCATGATTTCAATTATTGTTATAATCGAGATTATGATTTTTGCCATAATCGAGCAGCCCTACAAGACGACAGGCGAAAACCTTTTAAAATGCGTGTTTTCTGAATGGAGATCGGCTAAGCTAACGTTGTATATGCTCCGACCGTCCACACTCACAACAACGGCCTACAGACATAAATAAAGCAGCGACTGTATTCACCATGACACAGACAGTCTGTGGTTTGTACTTGTTTAACTTCTGTCTAGTTTCTGAACAGATATGAGGAGCTGTGAGCTCTGAGGGCTAACAGCTAACGGCTGATGTTGGTTTTGTGTTTCGCATTGAAGATGACGTCACGGCTCCGCCTACACTGCGTTACTATAGTTACTGCCTCAGTTCCTAAAGTGTAATGGAAACGCAGCATAAAGTGAGCCTGGCCTACCAAGGCCTAACTATACCGCACTAAGCCGAGCGAGGCCCTGCAGTGGAAATGCGCCATTAAAAGTTATGCGCACCCCTTTATATAAATAAAGTTTGACTTCCTCACAGAGCATTAACTTCCCAAATGCATCTTTTTACTGAATAAAAGGGGAATTCCTCAATGTAAGTTTGTACCTGTTGATATGAAGTGGTGTACACCATGACGTTCTGCTGCTGACCGTCTGCTGTGATAATCCCCGCTGGCATGGGATTTGCTGATGAGGGCAGAAATGTGTGTTTTATTGAGACTGATCTTCAACGGCATAACACAAAATCACTAAGTCAAAGAAATACATTTGGACCGTTTATACTCACAGAAGCTTTCGTCCGTGAGATCTTCTCCCAGGTTCTCTCCCACAGAAACTCCAGGAATCCCCTTCTCCCCCTTCATGGCCTGAAAGAGAACACATGTGAGCACATCTGGAACTAAACAGCAACGTGGCGTCAACATGTTTATCATAAGTCGCTTTGCATTAAAGCATCGGATAAACATAATGTGATGCGACTATACTGATTCTATGTCCTTTGCAGTCACATGTTGAATCGTTGCCATCAGCAGAAAATGCTATTTGTTAGAATATGATAAAAAACTGCTTCATTAGAAATGATGACAAACGGCACTTTAACAGTTTCCCAGCAATCAAATCAAATCTAGTTTTATTTATAAAGCACATTTAAAAGTGATTTTTGGTCGAGCCAAAGTGCTGTACATGTAATAAAAACACTTTACTGCAATCACAATAAAAGACAATCATTTACAACAGAGATATAAAAAACAAAAACACAGCGAATAGTCAGGAGTCGTGCTCCGCTCTGACTAGAAGGCCAGAGAGAAGAAGTGAGTCTTTAGTGAGGATTTAAAAACCCCTAGTGTCTGGGCCGACCTCACATGGAGGGGCAGAGTGTTCCAGAGCCTGGGGCCCGCTGCTGCGAAGGCTCGGTGCCCTCGGGTTTTGAGCCTGGTCTTGGGCACTACCAGCAGCAGCTGGTCAGCAGACCTTAAAGCTCTGGCTGGGGTGTAGCGCTGGAGGAGTTCGGCTATATAGGCCGGAGCCAGCCCATTTAGGGCTTTGAAAACAAATAAAAGGAGTTTAAAATCAATTCTGAACCGAATTGGAAGCCAGTGCAATGAGGCCAGAATTGGGGTGATTTTTGTGGCCAGTCAGAAGACGTGCAGCTGCGTTCTGCACTAGCTGCAGGCGTCTAATTGAGGCCTGGTCCATACCCACACACAGAGCGTTGCAGTGATCCAGTCTCGAGGTAACAAAGGCGTTAATAACCCTTTCTAGGTCTTTAAAAGATAAAAACGACTTGGTCTTAGCCAATAGTCGTATTTAAAAAAAGCAGGATTTGACTACGGTGCTGACCTGCTTATCAAATGTAAAAGTGCTAGTGAAGGTCACTCCAAGGTTCATGACAGAGGGGAGGATGTTTTCATTGAGAGAGCCCAGAATATCAATCTGGAGGTTGGGGTCCAAAAAAGGTTGTGGGGATTTTAAGTCTACACATGTGCAGCCTCAACATTTCTCCAAACGAAGTACGCCGGGCTCGGTAGAATTCCAAGTATGCTGGACATTGGAACAGTCCTTCGGCGGCACTCAATGACGTAGTATGCTTGAAATAGTGGCTCTGGAGCATCCTTCCTCGACATTGAGAAACACCCAGTATGTTTTGCTGTTGAGCCACATGTATTGTTGACATTTATGTTTCTTTTCGTCTTTGTTCTGTTATAGATATAAACGCCTTGTGCGGAATGCTTTGGCGATACTATGCTTGCAATGTGGTCGTGCCAATAAAGCCCCTTTGTATTGCGTGTCTCACCTCTCTGAACTTCTGCAGGTAGAGCTTCAGCGGCTCCACGTACATGTCGAAGCCCAGCGTGGACATGGCGAACAGGATGTCCTCTCCGTTGATGGTCTTCCTCTTCTCCTGGTGGCAGCGCTCGCTCGCCTCCGACGTGATGAAGCTGATGAACTCGCTCACACACTCCTGCACACACTCCTTTGCGTCTTTTGCAATCTGTGGGAAACAGGAAACAGATATTTACCAAAGGCACAGCAGGAGAACTCTTTGCTCCATTCGCTTCTCTTGGACTTGAAATCACACCGTGCATTTGACATATTCAGTTTCATATTCCATCCCTCACATACTTATGTATATATAATGACTTGCTTTATATGTTGCTATTGTTGAACTTCATCTAACAGCTTGAACATTTGGATTATTCCCTCTTTACTAACCTTTCCGGTCTGAGGGACGGCGTTCTTCATGATGCGAGCCACGTTGGCGATGGGGAGGTAGATGTCCTGCTCCCTGAAGTTCTCTTTAATGCCACTGTCGTCATGGTCGTTCATATTCTCCTCTCCATCGTCTACACCCATGAAACAAACAGAGTTAGAATCAGCTGTTTGGGACCGGAGCTGAAACACAACACTGATGGTAGCGTTCTGATGACATACACTCACCCTCCTGGGACTGGAGGACGTAGTGACCGGAGGCCATGTACTCTCCAGTGATGCCCAGCTGGGAGGCGTCGGTGGTTGAGTTGTCCCCGTCCATCTGCAACACAAACACACACCTTATCATCTGGAGTTATAGCAATATAGGTGCAAAGTCTAAAGCAAGCATCTCACATTCACTTCATGGAACCGCACCAACGAGCAGATGATTTCAATGCATATCAAATGGTAATAGTGTTTTCAAGCTAAAAGAAAAGTGTGAATCTTCAAAACGATAGACAAAAGGGGGTTTCCAGATTGAACACAAAGTCATACACTTAGGACTTCTGAGTGTTCAGTCTATTACTTGTTATTAATGACGTAACATGTAGGAACTTGTTAAGTGTCACTTCAAATCTTATTTAAGTTTAATTAAAAGATCATGTTAGAAGATTCAAAGGCTTTATTGATCTGATTTTGTAGTTCTTTACTTGCTTGTGAAGCGCTTTGAGCCCCAGGAAAAGTGCTATATAACTAATGTATTATTAATGTCATATACATAGCTACAGTGTAGTAGACAAACTTGGGTCACAGGTTCCTCAAACAAAGCAATATACATATATACAAGACATAAAACAAATGTAAAATAAACCCCAATGAAAATTGTGAATAGAAATGAAGCAGGTGTGTGTTCTGCTTTGTCTCAATGCATTAGCTCACTGACTTGGACCACAATCAGGTCTGGTATTGTTCCAGATGTTGGGGGAAAAAACACCATATATTGCTATTTTAGAGACAGAAACTATGTGTGGCCTCGTTGGGATTATATTTACAAAGGTTTATAAGGAATGCTGCCAAAACACCCCCCTCCCCCTTCACAATACACGCAGTTTAATATGATGAAATGTGTGTTTTCTGGCCTGGGGGAATACATTCTCCTGAGACCCATTGACTTGTCTGCAGTGGACATTGTGTTCACATTCATCTCCTTTTACTCTTCAGATCAATTACTTATTATTATTAAAATAACGCTGAATGTATTCTTGTATTATTATCCATCTATAAGCATAATATGTCTTGTAATTTTGGCTGAATTTTCACACTAAACTCGGTTCTCAGATGGATATATTTCTTGTAAAACTGGTATTGTGAAGCACAGTTAGCATTTTAACTGAATTGTAAAACCTCCTAGTTAAGCGCGGCAAGGCCAGTTAGCTTTAATTTAGCAACATGCTACATACATGGATCTGTGTTTAGCTTTCGAATGCTAACTAGCATAATGCTAACAGTGTCAACCAACGAATGGAGCCAGATAGTTAGCCCATTTGCTGGTTTAATATAACAAAAATAATGAGCCCAGCATAATAAAGAAAGGCTGTTACCTTCTGAAGTTAACATATTCAGATACATAGTGTCCCTTGAACACATTTTCCTTGTGAATCTAACGCCTGCAGAAACGGACGGCCTGTTTTTCTTTGTTTCTTTTGGAGCAAGAAGACGTGGCCTCGGCCGAAATGTTAAATTGTTTTTAAAGTTGAAACTTCCTCCTGATGAGCAGCCCTCATTCACTCAGACAACAAATTAAAAAAAATCAGACAGAGACGGACATTTCCATTCGAAGCTAACGAGAAATCGGTTAGCAATCATTGG